GCCCACTCTGGACTGGTGGTCTCGCATTGAACATTCCACTCTGAGACTCTCAGCTCAGAAGAGGCTGCTGGCTGGAGCTTTCAAGGGGAGGCTGCCCTCTGCTGTTATCAGCCAGCTATTGCGAGTTGACCCCCATGAAGTTTGCAAAGCTGGAGTTCAAGAGAACACCTTGTGAAAGATTCAACTGCAGAAGATCCCTCTGGGTTTGATCTTCCACGAAGCTCATGGTCCACCCTGAACCGCATCCACTGCACAAACCGTGACAGATGCATCAATGTAAAATTAAAAACTCTCCAGCAGCAGTGTGCGACTGTAATCATCCAGACGAGACCGTGCACCTTATAACGACGCAATGCCCCGATCCACAAATATGAAGGAAACATCACAGCGATGTCTTCTTGGTTCTTTCGGTAAAGTCACGTAGAAGGGAAGTAATAAATCTAATAAAAATAAAACATAATAAAATAATATAATTATATGATATATTTTATTTTTATTATTTTATTACTTCCCTTCTACGTGACTTTACCGAAAGAACCAAGAAGATGAATCCCTGCAGTCACGAAAGCTTTAAATCAAAATTTATCACAGCGATGATGATGCACTCCGCTACTGCTCCTGACGCTGTGGTGATCTGGGGCCTGACCAACCCGAATGTCAAATTGTAGTGGTTGCTCTGCATCTACGTCAGCCGTACGAAATACGAAGAAGGTATTATCATGGCCTTTTAACTAAACGTGTTACTTTACCAGGTAAGGCCCACTGAGCTATACGGCCACAAAAGACTTCACGTCCTTTGCTGGAGATGTCGAAGCTGATGCGGAGCAAGCCGCGTCTCTGTTAGAGGGTGGGATTTGGTGGTGCTGTGAAAACACCCGCGGATTATAATTGTCTAACGAGGTTGAGTTTGAATTCCTTCAATCGGTGGCTCCAGAGCCGGCCCAGCCACTAAGCGACCCTTGCAATTGCAAAGGGCCCCGTGGCCAGCAGAGGGCCCCCTAGAGTCACTGTTAGCGAGTAGGTGAAAAAAATCATACATCAAAGGGGCCTCCAACCAAATTTTGCTTAGGTTCCCCAAAGGTTTAGGGCCGGTTCGAGGTGGCTCGCTACTTAAAATTAACTTCGGTTAAAGGTCAAGGCGCGGCCCTGCAATTTCACCGTCCGCGCCACTCTTCTACGCTGGACAGATATCTTGTAAGAAGTGGGAGCACCCACGCCTTCCCCCACCACCACCCGTCACCTGCCGATCAACTCGACTGGGGTGCCCCCAATTATTCAGCTGGGTGGACAGGCACGGTGTGGTGGGGGGTGCTGTGTTAAGAAACTCGCGTCGTTTCAACTGCCGCACCGGGAGATCAAATCGAACCGATGACCTCGGGATTGCAAGTCCAACGTGCACTGCTCATTGTACAGCCGTGGGCAGCATGAAAACAAAAAGGGGTGTTTGTCAATGATGTAGTTCCACACTTGCTGTGTATAACACCGTGGGAATTCAATTGTTCTGATGTGTTGAGTTGCCTAATTAACGAGTACACGCGTAAGGAATGTTGAAGTTTCCCGGGGGGGCACAGGTCAGTGATGGTCAGCGGAGACCGTGCCAAGCTACTCTTCCAATCTAAGTTACATTCATTCCATTTGTTAGCCTGTCCGCGGATAATTAGGGCATTTTGCCCCACCTGCAGGAGTTACAATTGAAAAGTGTGCAGCTGCCACGATACATTAGTGTAATTGGTGCTTAGTTTAATTTCCTCGGTTGGATTGTGCCAAAGAACACAACTTTTACATTCATTGCACAATACAGAAATGAGATATTTTTTTGCTAGACGGTGCTGCAGCATCTACGATGCTTGGCCAAGTCTATAAACGACTGTTTGGAATGTCGGCAAGTGACCTGGAGGAGCTGGCAAACAAATAATCCACGAATACAAGGGGATTCACAACCCGAGCACTGAGAGATGCAGGCGTTCCTTGCTGTAATGTCATCTGGCAAATTTCACTTCGAAACATTTAACATCTGGCATTCTCAAGAGCCAACCTCCACGACCAAAAACCATCATCCATGGTGCACATCGGAGTAAGTCCAAGAATACGTTTTTTTCTGAGGTACAATCAACCAGTTTTTCTTTTTTAACATAGTTGCTGAGCCACAGGCTAACAGCGTCTAACGGACGGCAACAACGCAGCACTTTTGATTTAAAGCTTTCGTGACTGCAGGAATTCATATTCTTGTTTTTTTTGGTAAAGTCACGTAGAAAGGAAACAATAACATAAGAAAAATATAAAACAATAAAATTATCAGCAAGCAATCATCATCAGGTGTGAAAAACACACCTGATGATGATTGCTTGTGTTGCAGTCGAAACGTCGTGAGAATTTTATTGTTTCATATTTTTATTATTTTATTGTTTCCCTTCTACGTGGCTTTACCGAAATAACCAAGAATATGAACGCAGCACTTCTTACACTCGAGAAAGGCTAAAGGGATTGGGGAAGCAGACGATGGGAGAGAATTCCAACTCAAGAGGAAGAGAATCATTCTGCCCTGCAGCGTCGGTGGTTGAACACAGCGCGGACGAGATGAAAGCCAGGCACGGGTAGTAGATGCGTTACAAAAAATTGGCGTAGCAAATCGAAACCGCTCAGCATGGACCGCATAAAAATCCAACCCGCAATGCTGCCTGCCGAGTAGCACACACAGCACACACACAGCACACACAGTACACACAGCACACACAGCACACACACAGCACACACAGTACACACAGCACACACACAGCACACACACAACACACACACAGCATACACACAGCACACACACAGCACGCACACACAGCACACACAGGACACACACACAGCACACACACAATATACACCCAGTAGGCACACAGTGCGGTGTCTGGGTATGTGTCACGGTGTATCTCTGTGTTGGAGAGCGGTGGCGCAATGGTTAGTGCACTGCGCGCAAGTTCGATTCCCGCCCACGTGGCGAATATTTGAACCGGTCGACTCAGCCTCAAACGAGTACCTGGTGCGGTGCGTAAACATCGCCACTAAGGAGACAAAGGCGGTCGGGCGTGGTGCTGGCCACCCATCCCCTCGTGTGCCGTGCCGGCCTTCATAAGTGCCAACAACACTTGCCCCTACAGTCTGTCTCTGTGCGTGTCCGTGGGTAACTTAGTGTGTCCGTGGGTCTAATGTGTTCACGCATTGTAAGCATGAAATTGGACGCAATAATTCTTGCAAAGTTGCACCACAATGTTTTCCCCATGATAGATCTAACAATCACGCTCTCATACGACCGCCAGACGGCGCTCCCTCACTGTTCAGTCGGCCTCAGTTTCACTCAAAGAGTCAGAACCACAAGGGGCCATTGAGTGGCTTAGATATTCACGACTGTTGCTTGTGAGCGGGAATCGAACGCGGGTCGCCGTGTTCGTGGTGGCGCCGCGCGATAAACCGCTGCACTGTCGCTAGCCCGTGCCGCCTTCACAGACTGTTGGGGCAAGTGCTGTGAGCGAGTAGCACCTATGAAGCCCACACAGACACCCCCCATTCACGAGCACACGTGCGTGCAATGAATGACATGCAGAGTCTTCATGCCAAACACGTGTGAAGTAACGCATGCAATAAACGTGCCCACGCGTTGCAAAGTATAAACACAACGTGTGTTTTCCATCTGTGAGCAAGAGTTGCACAGCTCATCGGATTCATGCAGTGTTTGTAAATATTCTGATTCTGACGCATTCTCACGATGGCACAGGTGAAGATGAAAGTGTGACGTTGTTTGCGCACGGAGCCTCCACTAGAGAGAGCTCTGCTCAGGTGCAGGCAGACCTCGCTTAGCGCACAAGATGAGTTCACGGAGAAAGGGAGCGCTAATCGAATCAGCGTTACAAATTGGGCCATTATAGCCACCGCAAACATGGAGTTGTATTACTTCTTACGTATGAGCAGCGCTAATAATAATACAGATGGTAACGATTTTATTTTCTGTAATTAAAACGAGTATTATCATCATAGCATCAGTGCGCGCTAGGGTAATTGGGCTATTCATTCAGCCTGGCCACAGATGTGTCGGAGGAAGAGGGAGTAGACCCACACTCTTCCTCACCGCACCACACACACGCACAGACATCAACACACAGACAAGCATAGACACACTGCCGCAGTTACATTGAGCAGATCTGGTTTGGGCCACAGCTATTGCAGTGTCTAACATTTGAAAGGCGTATACTATCGAATGTCCATTTACACGACAAAAACAAGAACACCAACAATAATAGCCGTTCCCCAACTAAATGTGGTGACGTGATACGACTTCGCTCGTGCCACGCTTGGCTTGGTGCCAGGCTAGGTGTACTTTGAAGTGTCGGAGGCGCGTTGGGCTGGTCACAAAGACAGACCCCAGGTGTTACATAAACATTTACACAACAAACACCAATCGTCAATCACCACCACCAACTACCACGCTTGTGCCAAGGCTAGAGTTGGGTGTCCAGGATAGCTGCACTTTGAAGTGTCGAAGGCGCGTTGGCAGAACACGAGGTCACCAGCCTGACCCAGGTGTTGTGCGTTAACAGACTTGAGATGACGTGCAGACACAGACAACCACGTGTCCCCCCCCCCCCCACCGCCCCCACTCTGTGCCACCTACGAATCCGTGATCAACCTGTTCCGGAGATGTTTGTCACTTTATTTTTGACGATATGCCGAAAGCAAAATCGTTGCAGCACCTTCCTCGTCACGCGCTGCTCGCGACACGCGCACGGCCGCTGGGCCGCGGGCAGTTGGCGAGGCGAAGACCCCCCCCCCCCCCCCCCCACGGCTTCTGCGTAAAGAGCGCGCAATGGAACAGCCGACTTTTACGCACAGCTTATCCCCGCAGTGACGCGCGCTGCAGATGAAAGATTCCATCAATCTTTGGGGCGGAGGTGGGGCTAGGGGGATTGTTGAGGCAAGAGCAAACACAAGCAACAACCACAGCCACCACCACCATCACCGCCACCTCCTCGCTAAGCCCCCCGTACTTCCTCAATTCCTCTCGCTCCCCTCCCAATCCTCACTCCGAGGGTCTTTTTGTGCCAAGACGAGACTCATCCAACTGAGCAGGGCGGCGTGCGTGCGCGCTCCAACCCGCCCCTATCGAGTGGTGGAGGCGCATGCATGTGTGCAAACAGCCTCAGCACCCTCCCCTATAATTTCGGCACTTGGGGTTGCACTATCGCAGTCACGGGGCTAAGCTGCTGGCACATGGATGCTCGATACGACGAGAACGCACACGAGCAGTAGAGCGAGAGAGAGAGAGGAAAGTTGCTGGACGGACTGACTGCGCCGGACAGAGAGATAGGACACACACACCACACACACCACTCGCTCTCACACGCCCAGCCGGGACGAGAAGTCCAGCAGCGCACGTGTTCAACAAACTTCTCCCCACGCGTCCAGACAGCCCAAGGCGTGCTCGAAGACATCAGCAGCAGCAGCAGCAACAGCAGCAACAACATGACAATGTATTCATGAGCACGCGCGCATAACTCCACAAAAGTTGCAAGCAAATAAAAGCATTTTTTTTGTTTTTACAAAATCAATTCTAACGAGGATTTCTCCCCGCCAGACACACTGCTATGGTGACCCATGTCCTGCTTGTGCTGGTGATGGCTGTACTAGCGGGGTCTGCTGTTCACAGAGGTGAGTCCCAGGGAACGCATCATCGGGACACTCCGGCACGTGGCAATTGCAACGATGATAAACAAACACCTCGGGGTATATTGGCTTTCTTCAACAACAACAACAATACCACCCAGCAACATTTGTGCACGCATGCAAAGTCTCAAGACCGGTTTCGACCTGGGTTTCGTCGAAAACAAATGCTGCCCTGAGTTCGTATTGGCAAGAGAAAGCCGCATGCGTTAAACCCACGTTGCAGCATAGCAATAAACCTAATTCTGCTGATATTCAGAATGTCGCGTTTGCTTGCTTAAGCAACAAATGCTGCTGGACAATGTTTTATCCCGTGAAGCCAATAGGCCGACGTGACTAAAACGTACCTTTATTTAGCTCTACAGACACAGAATGGAATGCCGCTTATATTTCGTTTTTCTTATAATGTTCTACAACCACACGTACTCGGGTTGTAGACACATATCACCGAATACATGACAATGTACAAGATGTTTTCACTAGTGAACATGCATATATAAAATATCGGGTTAATGTAAAATACGTACAAACGTATTGCGTCGCGCGGATCAGTTAAGGAGTTGATGAAGGTGGGGAGCATAGAAAGAGCATGGTGCATACAGTACAACACTAGATTTTTCCGCAACTTTCGTCTGCTGACAGCATACAAATAATCGCAGGGGTGTTTTATACTGCCAGATGAGTAAATGAGGATCGTGACGTTTTGGGCGACTGACCTTTTTCAGGACATATTGAGGTTTATACAAAGAGTCTTGCACAGTCTTGCTAAGTGAAGATTAGTTGGTGGCAGCCGTCGGATTACAGACTCGCTGGTGTGTGAGCAACGAGGCATAGGCTTTGACAACACGGCATGGAATGCGTTCCAGAAGTTAATATGCAGATGTTTCTGATGCAGGGAGACAAGCGTGACTTGAACGACTGCTGTCAATTCTAGTGACGTTCTAGAAGGGTTGGAAACCACAGTTTTAATATTAAAATCTCCCCCTCCACTCACGACAACCCCCCCCCCCCCCCCCCCCCACCGAGAGGCTTGTTTGGTTTCACTCACAGGGAAGTGCCAACCTCAACTCATAGATTGCTTTAATTCTCACGTCAGTGAATCGGGTAACTCGCATAACTTTGGGTGTTTCTGCGACGAAAATTTGATCGAAAGTGGAAGAAGGTTCATAACTAGCAGATCATATGCCGGACACGCGAATATTATCTGGGCAGTGGTGGCTATACACGTCCGTGACACTTCAGAACTGTGGAGGCAACGAGGCTTGGTGGATCACGCAAAATGTTAGGCGTCCAGGAGGTTGCCATACTGCGAACTAATCTCTATCTGTGCCTTCTACATGGGATAGAGCGTTGCTTCCTCAGAAGCGTGGGTTTCTCCCTGCGTGTATAACAAACTCATTATTTGGACGAATGTATCTTAATCGAGGATTGCAGAGCTTGGGAAATTTGTTGACGCCGACTCACGGCTTGGTGGTTCCCCCTCGCGCCTCCAAGGCATTCTCTCTGCCTTCGAGAGCGAGCGAATACTAAAGAGATTGGTTTTGTGAGTGCTTCCAAGTTGTAAAAACAACTAGTGAGCACACATGGAGGGTGGCGTGAAACTTGCCTTGGCCTTTGTCACGTGACTGAAGTTTGCACATATAACCGGAGAAGTATGTTCTGATTCTCTAAGTCGGCTTTGTTTTAGTTAATTGGCCTCTTGACTTTCCAGATCGATATCCAGCATAATTTGTTTAAACAAGGAAACTCTGGAACAGTTTCGACTCTCTGGATCTCCACAAAAACCTCTATTGCGGATATTGGTCGCAAACGCATACGTGTTAAACTGTCTGGGTTTCATCAGTAGAGTCGGGTTTCTTAAACAGATGCTGCCAGGTTATCAGATGTTTGTTTGGACAGAGCAAGAACCCAAAACAATTCCGTTCTATTCAATGCAAAAAAGCAATCTTGTATATCAGCTCATAATGCATTGTTGTGGAGTATCGTGATTCAAAGCACATTTAAGCAAACTTCTTTCCGTCTCCAAATAAAACATATTGTTATATTTGAGGATTTTTTTCTTCTCCCAGTGTGCTAGCATATAAACCAGGCGTGTATTCCCAACACGCGGAGCGGAGTGAATGTTGGGAATGCGAACCGCTGTTGTTTGCCAAGAACTCCATCGCAGCCAACTCCATGCTCCGTGCATGAACCGTGCCGCGTGTTCGCAGCTCCCGACTACTGAGCCAACACGAACGGCAACCTCCACTGGTTCGGCGTTCAGCCACTCGTGATTAAACCGCGTTGCCAAGTGTAGCAGCGAGTTGGTAGTTCTAGCCAGAGGGGTAACGACATGAGCTCAGGTGGTACAAAAATCGCTCAGGTGGGGCCCCAATATTTGATTTGTCTCGCACGGTCGAACCCAGGATGTTCTACACCGCGGCTCTTCTAGCCTCACCACATCGTTGCGCTCACGGTCTCGAACACTTAACGCTGTATGGGGCGCTCCGTCTTCGCAAAATAAGCGTTGTTGGCGTTCTTTGACACGGTGGTTGTCAAGGGGGCCCCGACTCGTAGCTCTGGCCACCAAGGGGTGGTCACGGCAGCTCCCAGTACCTGCCACTGTCTCGAGCCCGAATCACCAAGGAGCACACAAAACACGCACCGCGTTTACATGCGGGGTCGTCACTTAATCCGGCTGAAAAAAATATCCATCTCTGAGATTCTTAAACATTTGATTGCCATGCGACCAACGCTCTTTGCAGAGCGGCCAAAGTGGCGTGCCTCGAGTCGTGTGGATAAACGAGACCTGAATGACTTTCAGAAGTAGTTCTATGGTGTCTTCTTCCAGACCCGCTGCGCAGCCACCGAGTTTCACACTCGTAGCTGCGGCTCGTGACTCAACGCTGGACGCACAATTGGAATATAATTAAGATTTTAAAACATATATATTTGTGTGTACGTCTCACAGCGCGGATGACAATTACCGCGTGTACGATCGCACGGAAAACCTTCCCCTGATAACGGTGATAGCTGCCAGTCGCGTACGCTTACACAGAGTCGCGTCCGCTTACACAGAATCGCCCCTTGAAGCTGCAATAATGATGATGATGATAAAGGGGAAATGTCTTCGTTGTGAGGGTTAGCACACGGGACTTGCAATGCTGGCATCGCCTGTCCGATCTCCCGGGCACGGCAGTTGAAACAATGGTGCAAGATTCTAAAACCCCCTTGAATCTGTCCACCCAGCAGGTCAGTCTAACTGAGCACTCCACAGTTGTGTGACAGGTCGCGTGCGGCGGGGGTAAAAACGTGGGTAACGCCCACCTCTCACAAGACGTCTGGCCAGATGTCTCGGAAGAGTAGGCCAAGAGATTGTCGAGAAGGTGCCTTCTAGAGCACCCTCTCGTTGTATATTACGATAATGTTCAACTCGTCGCTCGAGTAGAGAGCGACTCAGAGAAGTGGGAAGGCAGCAGCCACGCGGCAGTGAGCCGGCGTCAACTCTCGCCCAAGCTCTGCGGTCCTCTACGTACGAAGGTGTTACAGGCAGCTGAATGAGCGCCGCGTTTACATGTGGGAGGACGTTTGAGCACCCGTTCCGCCAGCAGTGGCGTGAGCAAAGCAATTGCAGGACTGCACCTTTACGCATTGATGGATAATAATGTCGATGATACGGAAAGCGCCACAGCCTTCAGCACCGTCACACAGCGCGAGACGCAAATGAGCACAGTCCGTGTTGATGGTGCCAGCGCCCGATCATCACGGGAGCGAGTTGAGACAGAGGGCGCTGGGCTCGGTACGACGCCGTGTGTCACGACCTTCGGGAGACAAAGGCGGCCGTACGTTGGTGTTGGTCACTCACCTCCATCGAGTGCAGTTCCGACCTTAATAGGTGCTCGCTAACAGCACTTTATCTTGCAGTGTATGCTTGCGATACATATCTGCAGCTGTGCCAAGTTGGTAGAGTTTACGCACAGAGAATGTTTACTGAAGCACGTTAACTAAAGGAAAATCACAGGTTCAGTTAATGTACGCAGGCGATGGAGCGGTGGTGCAGCGGTTAGCGCACTGCGCTGCAAACTCGTCCACCCGAGTTTGACTTCGGGCCGCGGCGAACATCAGTGGCGAGTAGGAACTAAACCGCTCCTCGTTCTCTCCCTTAAATGCCCCCCCCCTTCCCCATTTAAAAGCCCGCATCGACCAGCGTGGTGAAGTATGGTCAAACAACCCCCACGACCCGCGTGTCATCCCCCAGTGGATTGACACGCGCCTTTAAATGAGTATAAGAACAAAAAACATCGATTTGAAACGGAAACAAATTGGCATGTAAGCGCTGGGCGACTGTGTTTCGCGTCTTTAATTAATATTGCAGCAGCAAGGAAACGCGAGTCGCGTTTGAAAGTTAACCCGCTGATAACAAAAGCAACAGCAACAAGGGTGACGGATCCCAGATGTATTCGATGGCATTGCACCAATCGGGCGAGGGCGGAGGAGGGTGAAACAGTGTGCGTCCATTTATAACCGAATCGAGTCCAAAAACGTGAATTACCGTGAGAGAAAATAAAAATAAAACTTCAACTCCAATTCTTATTTTCGTGGAACACGCGCCCTGTGATGCAACAACAGCTCGCCTCGGCCAACGCCTCTCTCAACCATTCTTCTTCCCACTCCTCTCTCACACGCTCTTTCGATCCGGCTCGATCAAGCGAGGGATGTGAGAGGCCCGGCGGTGGGGACTGTGACGGCTGCGTGCCCGGGCCGCCTCCAAATGGGAGATCGGTCACTGAACTGCACGGCGAGTTCGTCTCTGCCGTAGCTCACGAACAGTGACGTTCTCCTACAATTACCAAATGTAACACCTGGGGACTCTCTCGCAGTGCACGGCACACCGGTTATGAAGAGCTGGCCAGGGGGCTTCGTGGTGTAGCCATCGAGTGTGCAGACGGTGCAACTGCGTAGGCACGAAGCGCCCACACATTCTTGATTTAAAGCTTTCGTGACCACAGGAATCCATACTCTTTGGTTCTTTCGGTAAAGTCACGTAGATGGGAAATTAATAGATCACGACGTTTCGATCGCAACACAAGCACTCGTCATCAGGTGAGACAAACACAGCAGCAGGATAACTGCTGACCCATGCACTATTGCTCACGGCTAACATTAGCAACCATTGTGGTGAAGTAAGGCCAAAACAACTCCATGGGGAGGCCTTCGTCCAGCAGTGCATAGACAGAGGGCTGTAATCTTCTTGGTTCTTTCGGTAAAGTCACGTAGAAGGGAAGTAATAAAAAATAATAAAAATAAAACATAATAAAATAATTCTCACGACGTTTCGGCCACAACGCAAACAGCCGTCCTCAGGTGAAGACCAGGTCTGTCGGGGAGACGCTGTCTACGTGACTTTACCGAAAGAACCAAGAAGATGAATCCCAGCAGTCACGAAAGCTTTAAATCGAAATAAAAGGGCTGTAAGTTCAAGGAGTATTTTACCGGGTGATAAGTTACGATTGCACTGCAGTCAATGATGAAAACACGACTTTGCAATGCAGTGCAAATGCACGCGTTTCATCACGATCCAAGGTGCACGGTGATTGTAAACGTCCACACAGACGCCTTCAGAGGCATTCTTTTCTGTTTAAGAGCGATGCAAAGACGCCAGACCCCCCCCCCCCCCCCCCCAAGAACGACTCGTGGCAGGGCCATTTACCAACTATTTCAACAGCAGCGGCGTGGGCATACACAAAGCACTGGACGTCTTAGGTAGCATTGCGTGAACCAACAGCTCCCTTGACTCCGGCCTCTCTGGAGAAGGTGTTCATAATTTGACCGCGAACCCGAGTTCTACTCCCGGCTACGGCCAGCACCACGCCCGGCCGCCTTTGTCTCTCTACTGATGATGTTTACGCACCTCACCAGGTACTAGGCTGAGTCGACCTAGGGGAGACCCAAGACCGGTTAATATGATCTTCGCTAGTGTTGGCCCGTGATCTGGAATCGAGCTCGTGTCGCACTACCCGCTACACTACCGCTCATATATTCACACGGGGGTGAACTCCACATAGCCTTTTTAACAGATTGTTAGTGAGCGCCTATTAAGGCAGGCATGGGCCACAAGCACGAACTTCTGTGCGGGAAAGAAGTCCGTGCAGAGTGCACGGCAGACAACAAGCAGATCGTATCGCAACTCATTCTATTAAGCCTCTAACATGTGTTTAAAGTTTAAACACCGACTGTTGTAACCCCCCCCTCGCCCCTTAATCAAAGTCACGCTACAGGGTTACACGCCACGGCTTACTCTCAGCCGGAATTAGTCCACGAAGCTGTTCGAATAATTATTTTAAATAGGCACTCGGCCACATGCATGCATCCATCCATCTCACCGTATGTTGTCTCTTAATGATCTTCATACACCTGTGCACACGTGGTTAACGGAATGTGGTGTCCAGTAAGACAAGCTCGTTATGGATGGCCGCACAATGTACGCCCCCCCCCCCCCCAATTAATTAACCTCTAACATTTTTGTCCTTTGCATATTAATTTTAGTATTAAATACACCTTCCTTTACAATTATATTACGTTTTAGAGAATTCATAACGAGAAGACTATTTATTTTTACCGCACTGGAGCAATCCTACGAGGCTATAAGCTCTTTTTCACATATGTCCAGTATTAATTAAATTGGGGTCACAAGGCATTTGGACCGCCCTGTACCCTCGTGGTAGTGCCTTACGCCACCCCCCCTCCTCTCAAGCCAGCCTAGCTCGAGAGACAAACAAAATCTCAGAGAGAGAAATCCATTCTAGATTTTAAGCTTTCGTGACTGCAAGGATTCATATTCTTAGGTTTTTTCGGTAAAGTCACGTAGGTAAAAATTTTTAATTAATAAAAGTAAAATAAATAAAAAAAATAAAATAAAAATCACGACACAAGCTTCCGTCTACGGTTCCACCTGAAGACGGAAGCTTGTGTTGCCTCCGAAACGTCGTGATCTTTATTTTATTTTACTTTTATTAATTTTATTTTTTTACCTACGTGACTTTACCGAAAAAACCTAAGAATAAGAGAAATCCATGCCGGGTTTCACCCCCCCCAACCCCTTTTGCCTTCGCAGAGAAACGCGAGCCGCTGACGCTCCGGATCCACTCGGGAGGAGACGGAGTCACCTTCAACTTCCACCCGGGCTCTACGGGGGGAGACGCGGTGGACGAGGTGGAGGAGGTGGCTCCCCCACCCAGACGGCGTCAGAACCACGGCCCCGTGCTGCAGGGCGCCGCGGGGAACCCGGCGGCTCACGGCCGCGCCGCGGCCTCCTTCCTGCACCGCCAGGGGGCATCGCAGCTCGGTGAGTGGCCAAGGGCCAGAGCCAGCCCCCACCACCCCCCGCCCCCCCCCCGCCTCTCTTCTCTCGCTTGCGTTGCTGAACGAGTCCGTCCGTCTCCGTGCGCGGTGCGTTTTTGTGTTCGCCGATGTTCAGAGGGGTGGGTCACTGTCGCCGATGAGGCCATCACCCGGTGTGGGTGAGGACCGACACGCATCCCAAACCATTGGGGGTTTAATTCTAGATTTGAAGCTTTCGTGACTGCAAGGATTCATACTCTTAGTTTTTTGGGTAAAGTCACGTAGGTAATTTTTTTTAATTCAAATTAATAAAAATAAAATAATTGGGGGTTTGACAGAAGCGCGATGATGCTGGTGGTGGTGATGGAGAGGGGGGGGGGGTCTTTTCACTCGTTGTGTATCGTCGGGGGGGGGGGGCACGTCAGTGACTGCACTAGAAGGCCACCAGGGCACGCAAGTGGCCCACGGGCCTTGCAACGAAGAAGACCGCTCACTGGTGGCGAGTCGCCTTCCTGTCGCTCTTCCATGGCGACCGCCATGGGTCACTGCTCCCACAAACTTCACTCACTGAGTCCTCCACCCATGTTGAGGACTGCATCTACCAGACTGGATCTACCATACTGACTGCATCTACCAGACTGGATCTACTAGACTGGCTGGATCTACCAGACTGGATCTACCAGACTGGCTGAATCTACCAGACTGACTGGATCTACCAGACTGACTGGATCTACCAGACTGGATATACCAGACTGACTGGATCTACCAGACTGGATCTACCAGACTGACTGGATCTACCAGACTGGATCTACCAGACTGGCTGAATCTACCAGACTGGATCTACCAGACTGACTGGATCTACCAGACTGGATCTACCAGACTGACTGGATCTACCAGACTGGATCTACCAGACTGGCTGAATCTACCAGACTGGATCTACCAGACTGGCTGAATCTATCAGACTGGATCTACCAGACTGACTGGATCTACCAGACTGGATCTACCAGACTGACTGGATCTACCAGACTGGATCTACCAGACTGGATCTACCAGACTGACTGGATCTACCAGACTGGATCTACCAGACTGACTGGATCTACCAGACTGGATCTACCAGACTGACTGGATCTACCAGACTGGATCTACCAGACTGACTGGATCTACCAGACTGGATCTACCAGACTGACTGGATCTACCAGACTGGATCTACCAGACTGACTGGATCTACCAGACTGGATCTACCAGACTGACTGGATCTACCAGACTGGATCTACCAGACTGGCTGAATCTACCAGACTGGATCTACCAGACTGACTGAATCTACCAGACTGGATCTACCAGACTGACTGAATCTACCAGACTGGATCTACCAGACTGACTGGATCTACCAGACTGGATCTACCAGACTGGATCTACCAGACTGACTGGATCTACCAGACTGACTGGATCTACCAGACTGGATCTACCAGACTGACTGGATCTACCAGACTGGATCTACCAGACTGGTTGGATCTACCAGACTGACCGCTTCGTCTCATCCTGAATCAGAATCAGTATTTATGCTGCTGGAGGAATCCGATGAGCTATAAAGCTCTTTTTTCACAGGTGTTCAGTAGGGGCGGGTCAGGTCGTTAAAACAACACACAATACAAAAACACAACAGGAGTGAAAAGTATAGGAAAGTTAAACAGATCGCTGAAAATATATACAAAAATATATACAATATATACAAAAATATATACAAAAAAAACAAAAATTTTCCTGTTACCAGGTAAATCCCACTAAGCTATGAGCTTATTTTTTCAGAAGCGACCTGGCCACAAATGAAAGCTCAGCGAAGTGGTTTTTCGCGTGGAAATCTATAGCAGCAAAATAATCTAAAGAGAATGGCGGAGCAGATAACATGAATATTCGTTTGGTTCTTTCGGTTAAGTCACGTCTAAAGATAAAATAATAAATTAAATTAAATAATAGCATACGACGTTTCGATTGCAACACAAGCATTTGCATATCAATGCAAATGCTTTCTCTAACCCCCTCCCTCTCTCTGCCTCCTCCCCCCTCTGTCTATTTAAGGCCACCCCACAGAGATGATCACCCCTCTCTGTTACCTGTGTTGCTCTCTCTATGTATCTTGGTGATATCTGTCTGCTAATATGTCTGTCTATAGTTTTCTGGTTAGATTTTATGTCGCTATTTCATTATACCTGATGATGATTGCTTGTGTTGCAATCGAAACGTCGTATGCTATTATTTAATTTAATTTATTATTTTATCTTTTGACGTGACTTAACCGAAAGAACCAAATAATAATTCCTGCAGTCACGAAAGTTCAAAAATTAAGAATGAATATTCGTCCAAACGGTGTCATACAAACACCGAATCCGGCACGTGGTTATCTCCTCGGGTCACTTAATAAGGCACCAACAAAAAAGTTAGCCGACCTAAAACAATCAAAGATAGCCGCCAAATTCAACGGTGGTCACAGCCAAAAATCGTGGATATCTTGGGGGGGGGGGGGGGGGGAAATGCAGCCATGTTTGATTTTAGATGGCCGACATTGTTTTTTGTTTATGAAAAGATACACGGCTGTGAATGTCCCTAGCAAACCTTGACTTAAAGCTTTCATGACTGCAGGAATACGTATCGCAACACAAGCAATCATCTTCACCTGAAGACGATTGCTTGTGTTGCGATCGAAACGTCGTGATATTTATTTATTTAGTTTTCTATCTACGTGGCTTTACCGAAAGACCCATAGAATATATTTCCCTAGCAAGTTTCATGCTTGTATCACGCTTGAAACAATTATTGTGGGAGAAAAAGAATGCACTTCATCCACTCCACTAAAAAATCGGAAGAGGTTACAAGAGACTGCTTGCTCACGCCACTGATTGGCGGGATTCTGCAAGAAGGGAGCTCGAAAGCGAACCCAGCGGTCTCCACTGCTGAAGGTAACACAAAGTGTTAGAGAAACGTAAACTTTTCCGACTTCTGGCAGTTTGCAAACCTGTGGGAAGTGGTCCGCCAAAATTTCTGCAGACACGATTCGTTTCTTCTTCACAAAACACTGTCATCTGAGTTGCCTGATGGTCCCATGAGCAGTGTTTGAAGTTTGACAGAAGTCCACAGGTCTAGACAAAGTTGGGAACCACTGCTCTATAGAGACTATTTTGGCCTACTCTTTCACACTGGCCAGGCGTCTTGAAAAAAGTGGGACTACCCTCAATGGGATTTTTGCACACAGCGTTGAACGTACGGTGTTTTTTTTCTGGAAGATTTGCTGGTTTATCCAGGATGTTTCTGTTGCGCGTCGTCGCTTTAAGATGTTCTCTGTTCATATTTTGTTTGTTGCGGTTGCACCCGACTTAAGAGCCGCATGGCTCACAGGGCTATACCTAGTAAATGAAACTTGAACTTGAGGGCTTAATTTTTGATGGAATATTTGCGGATGCTCCCCCAATCACTCTACCAAGGAGCAAAAAACAGGATTGGGTCACATAGCGAGTCAATTACTCGTACGACGAACGTTTTGTAATCCCAAGGCGGTACTCATTTCTATCTGATCCATAGACTACTTGGGGGGAAAAACATATATGTGTTGTGAGCATTTCCAATTGTATACCGCAGGTCCCTTGGGGTTTGTGTTTGGCGAAGTGACACTTTGGTTAGAGTGTTCGCCTTTCAGTCTCTGGGAACAGTGTGAGTTTAAATTCAGGTCAGTTTGTTGAAACAGCCCATCATTTTCATCCTCCCTTCAGGGCTGATGAAATGAATACCACATTTTGTGGAGTCAAACGTGGTGGTTCTATGGGATTGGCTGGGCCCTGCGATAGAAACTAGAATGTTTCATCACTCGCCAGTGTATATGAGGATAATACTAATAATAATTATGATGTCCTTTATGTGTTATGCCCCTTATGTTCGTGGGTTTTGCAGTCTCCTCCCACGCTTATAAACACTCATTAATGGGGTTGGCCAAACACCAAAAGACTATAGGAACACAGAGCTTGGGCAATTGTAAGTGCCAGTTCTGGATGCCTTCCCACTTGGTCTGTGGTTTCCGTGCATCTCAATCTATATTTATAAAACCTCGATTGAAATTAATTTCTCTAGAACTGATTTTTGTGTTTAATTTCTCGTCCTTCCCCAACTAGCACGGTTGGCTACGTACAGTGCGAACGAAGTTCAACATGGACACAAACATCTCCGTGTAAAAACTGTGCACGTTACACATTCTCCGGAGTGTTGAGATGCAATTTGCATGAATGACGCTTCGTAGAAAAATAAATAAGAAACCGAATGTGGCGTGCAACCATCAGCAACGGGGGTGACAAAAGTGACCTGGCCACACACCCTCCCCCTCGTACGCTGCGGCGGCCTTCATAGACGCCCGCTGACAGCACCTGCTCCAACACTCTTCCATTTGCATCCGTGTGTGTGTGTACCATATTTGTGTGCGCGTGTGTCCGTAAATAGGTGCAGGCCCTCGCACAATTCACGTGCTGGCGATCCGCTCTCAGGGCCGGGCGGGCTCGGCTGCCCAACGGCCACACCACCTGAGCATAGGTGAGGTCGCGGGGTCAGGCGCTCGCTGTCGGCGAAAAGGCACCGCTGATTGCAGACGCCGCATTGATTTGTGGAAGGAGACTTTTATAAATCTTCACTCGACGTGGTTTTGTGCAACCGGGCACAGGCCGCGCTGCTGCGTGTTTGCCGGCCACTTGACGTACTGGGGGTCTTTAAGGCTTTGCGCTCAGAAATTGTGTTTAAGATAAAATAAATAAAATAACCCGACAGTTTCCACCCGGACCGGGGTTCACCGTACGTGCGTTGTCTGTGATGGTGCTCATGGGGGTATCTAATAGTGTGTAAGGGATTGGGAAGTTTGGCAAGCAGGTTTGTGGCCGACATGTTCGCATTTGAGTGTTACCTTCTCATTCAAGTACGGCTTCCTCCAGGCACTTAGATTTTCTTCCACGAACAAAAAAAAAATCTTGAAAAGGAATTGGCCATCAACACCAAAGCAGGGTGCTCCTGAGAATGTCACGAGACTCAAGGAGGCTTTCCTGGATAAAAACACGTGATTGTTGCTTTGTGTTATTTGAAAAAAAAATCAATATGGTTTCCTGCTCAATTGAGCATGGGGTAACACTCATGCCCCGTTTACGGCTTTGAGCCAGCGGTGGAAATTCTACATTCCTATTTTTCGTGGCAAGTTTATCCAGAGGACAACCGCTCTTGATTTCCCCAACAAAGTAGTATGCGTTTTGTGAACTCCGGACAGATGATGTCGACCTGGATTTACACGTGCACGTGTGTGCGTGTGCGTCGGGGAGCGGTGGCACAGCGGTTAGCACGCTGCACTGCAACCCCGGAGGCCCGAATCCAACTTCTGCCTACGGCAGTCATCGGTGATGATTATCTGAACCGATCCTGGGCCTCCTTTATGTCGACTCAGCCTCCAATGAGTACCTGGTGCGATGCGTAAATATCGCCACTGGGGAGACAAAGGCGGCCGGGCGTGGTGCTGGCCACCCACCCCCTCGTGTGCCATACTGGCTTTCATTAGGTGCTCGCTAACAGCACTTGCCCCAACAGTCTGTTAAGGCTACACGGGGTGGGGGGGAATCTTTGTCTTCTGTCGCGGCTCAGACGAGCGAGTGTCGATGATGAAGGACGTGCGGGTGGAGATGCTGAGCCCCGTGTCGGTGCTCATCACGTGGCGGGATCCTCTGTACAGCGCCGAGCACGAGCAGGGCAGCACGCAGCGGTGAGCGAAGCGCGCACGCGGCACCCACCATCGAATGAGGGCAAGGGGGTAAAGAATTGCATTCGGGGCCCACGTGAAGGCCCATCACTTCCTAACGGTCTGCAAACAAATCACCGCGGTCATCTTAGACTTCGACGCGCCCATTGTTGTGGCGCTCGCTCACCGATACACGTGACCGGCGCGGGGTCGTGGCTATCCTGCTTCCCCACGTCGACCGATCAGCCGCAGCCGTCCAAGCGACTTCAGCCGGGGCTCCAAGATCTGCCTTGAACTGCGTGTGGGTCAACCTTGGAGCCCGGGTGCCAGTCTCTGCCCCAGGGCCTGTGCCGCATGATCGGGTAGCAGCGGCAGAGGTTGAGAGTGGCATGATCTGGCATGTCGTCAGACATCTGTCTGACGTGTCCAAACTAATCGGGTACGAGACGGGAATATTTTCGACCTGGCAAAAGCAATCAATGTGCTCCTGGTTTTAATGCACTCAGTCATTTGCCATCACTTGGCACGAAGCACCAGCAAGCGACGGACACGGATGGCTGTGAAGGGATGTGCAGTCCTGCGAGAGATCTGAATGGGGTTTTCATCTAATGATATGACGGCAAATAGCACAATTGGGATTCAATTTGAGAAAAGGATGAGACCAAAAAATCAGGTTTAAGTTTTGCAGACACAGTGACCGGAGTTCACCTTCTGGCTCACAGCCAACACCAGTGTGACAATTATCTGGACCAGTTCTGGGCCTGCCCCGAGGTCAACTCAGCCTCAAATGAATACCCTGGTGCATTGTTTAATCATCGACACAAGGGAGATGAAGGTGGTCCGGTGTGGTGCTGGCCACCCACCCCTTTGTGTGCCAGACCGGGCCCCATAGGTGTTCGCTAACAGCCCTTGCCCCAGTTTAAAAGGCTATACGGGGAGTCTTTGTCTTTGTAGACACACACACACAGATTGGTGCCAGAAAGACGTGAAACTACTTGAGCATATTGGCACAAGACAGGAGAGTGGAAACAAATGACGAGATGTGCAGTGGCCACCAACGGGCTGCCCAGGGATCGTGATGAAGATGATGACACACATATCCTCAATAGCTGGGTTAACACGGAGGCTTTCACGACCAATATTATTTTTAACAATTCTGGCTAATCACCTGATGAAGCTGGTTGTTATGACGGGCAAAACGACGTACTCGAATTGTAAATATTGTCGGCTTATTCTCCAGCACACCGTTGTGCTGAAGTAGTAACTAACTGGCACGGTTTTTTTTACATGACAAACCTCACTAATTGGCTGTAGCTGAGAGCCACCAAGACATCCATCGAGCAAAAATCTGCAAGACGGAGAAAACATTTCAAGGAGCACGCGAGAGCGATGAGATGCCTTTCATCCAGCAGAATATCTCGGCCCGCAGCGTTCCCTTCAAAAGGCCAGACGGGTTCGGAGAGGATCTTCTGTCTGTGCGGCCCTCTTTTCTCTGGCTGCGCCCGCAGGTACTACACGGTGCGCTACCGGGAGCAGGTGCCCACCGCCATGTGGGCCTACCGCACCGTGAGCCGGCCTCACCTCGTGCTGGGGAACCTGCGACCGCGCGCCGAGTACGAGTACGCGGTGCGCGTGTCGGAAGGCCGAGTTGACGGAGACTGGTGTGGTCCATCAAAGCAAAAGCAGCAGCAGCAGCACCAACACGTTGCGAGTAAGTGTCTGTGTGTGTGTGTGTCTGTGTGTGTCTGTGTGTGTGTCTGTGTGGGTGCGTTGGTGTACGGTGTTTTTTTCTGCAATATCTTTTCTTGGATTTTCTGTTTGCACTTAGTCACATATTCACTTTAAGATGTTTTTTGTTCATGTTTATGTTTTTTGTTTGTTGCGGTTGCACCCGATTGAAGAGCCGAATGGCTCACAGGGCTATACCTAATACATGAACTTGAACTTAGGGTAGCGATTAGCGCGCTGCGCTATGAACCCGGCGACACGAGTTCGATTCCCGCTCTAGGCCAACACCAGTGCCGATTATCTGAACCGGTCCCGTGCCTCCCCTAGGTCGACTCAGCCTCAAATGAGTACCTGGTGCGGTGTGTAAACATTGCCACTAGGGAGACAAAGGCGGTCGGGCGTGGTGCTGGCCACCCACCACCTTGTGTGCCGTTCCGGCCTTCATAGGTGCTCGCTAACAGCACTTGCCCCTACAGTCTGTTAAGGCTATATGGGGGATCTTTGTCTATCTTTGTGTGTCTGTGTGTGTGTGCAAGCGACACACGGGCCACAAGCAGCAGCAGCGGCAGCATCAGAACTTTGGGTTCAGGTTTTTAACCGATTATTCATTTGACAGGTAGGATTTCGCAGCCAATATTACGACTGCCTTGGATGTGTTTTTTTACATTCTAATTTTGCCCCGCATCTTGTCCTGATGATGCTGATGATGTTTGACGTGAGTTGCAAGCGAAATGTCGTGTCGACATGGCCGATGGTCGTTGTTCGACTTGCAGGTGAGCGAAAATAATAATAATTGCAGCGTTAAACGTGGCAATTCAGTTATTAAATTCGTCATGAATACAAAAGCATTGCAGCTAGACAATAAAAAATTCAGCTGAGTTTAATTGGATTTAGAATAGTTAATAGCTCCTTAAAATTGCCGGTTAAAATCCCTGCAGTGGCACGGACAAGCAATTGCAGGGCTGCACCTACAACATTCCACACCTATATCATTAAACAGAATAGAAAATAATTTATGATCAAAATCAGTTCCTGAGGTAATGACTTCAAGGCAAGAGAGCGATTTAGAGGGAAGATTGTAACGCAAACGGTTATTAACTCCTGGAACAGAACATTGTGATGTTGAAAAATGTCTGAGGCTTCAAAGACTTAGGTCCGGAAGGAGTAAACTAGATAGGCTGACGGGACGGAGGGTACAAGTGATCATAATAATCTTAATAATCTTTGCATTTAAATGCCTCAGCATTTCAACCATTCAAAGGGAGCCCTACAGTGGCAGCTGCCCCTGTGTGGCACAAGGTGATGAGCACCAGCCTGAAAGTGGGCATTAGGTGTGGCAGGGGGTGAATAATTTAGTTCATTGTCGACAACAACGACAACAACAATTATTTTACCCAGCAGAAATGGACAAATAATGAAGTGAACATCTAAACATGTCGCCGGAGCTATTGAACTAATCCAGCGCTTGACAGAAATGATAGAGGTTTCCAATTTAAACCGCAATAACCACGTTCAACATGTTATTGGTTCTTTTCGGTAAAGTCACGTAGAAGGGAAATAACAACATTATATAAATATAAAACAATAAAAATTTGAAATTTTCTTGCTGTGGATTTCACACCTGATGATGATTGCTTGTGTTGCAGTCGAAACGTCGTGATAATTTTTATTGTTTTATATTTATATTATTTTGTTATTTCCCTTCTACGTGACTTTACCGAAAGAACCAAGAATATGAATCCCTGCAGTCACGAAAGCTTTAAATCAAAACTTGACACATGTTGTCACTGCAATGCTGTTTTGGGCACGGGTGCGTTGAGAGCTGTAATCTAAATACAGTTTTGCGCACGGCTACTGTTCCGTGTGTTCATGTTATATTGCACAAGTGGGCATTAAAACTAGATGAAAACGGGCCATTTTTCAGGGTGACACGGAGCTAATAGTAAGCCCCGAAGCAATCACAGGATTAGATTGCAAGGTCTTTGTTCGGCATTAAGGAGTAAGGAAAAATGGCTAAACTGTAAGGGATCATTATTTTGATCGCTGTGTATTATATTTAATTAGCACGATACATATTCATCGTCAAAATGATCCACAGCCGTAAAAATCGGCACGCGCGTGGTGGCCCCAACGAAAAATAATCTCATCCAATTATAATTTGACAAGACACAATATCTCGGTGGTGGTGCAGTATTACATTTTTTTACGTTATTACGTAGCAGTGGGTTTGAACCCATGCCTTTTGGATTCGGTAACTTGAGTTCAATTCCCGACCATGGCTTTACAATGAGTGGCGAGCATGCTGGAGTACGATGGAAACAAACCCCACGACCATGAGGAAGCCTTCATCAAGCAGTGAATTATTGACAGATGGCTGTGCACAATTGTTTTTACCATCATAATAAATTGACACACTTTGTCAATCCACTGCAGGACGAAGGCTTCCTCATGCCTTGTTGGTCATGGGTAATGTTTGGCCATTCTTCATCGTGCTGGCCAGTACCGTGGTCAGGATAAAAAACAGGTTTTGCTGGTTTCATGGTGCACCGTGGCAAACCACTGCACCACCACTGTCCTACCACATTTGTATTTACAATTAACCAAGCTGATTGGGTTTGTACCTATCTTGGATTTCCCAGGATTGTCCTGTTTTTGAGGTAGTAGCTGTACTGGGAAATCTGTCTTCCTGGAGCATGAATGGTCCCAGTTTTGTGTCAGCTGCGTATTAATAGCGCGTCGCTCAAGACGACGCATTTACGTTCGGTTTTCCCGTCTTCTGGTATTCTGAGATATCCTCATGCCCGTGAGATGTCCCGGCTCTTATTTTCCTACCCCAGAGATGGGAACCCTAGCCACCAAACCTGGGTCGGCATGAGTTCAACCCCGCTTGGGAATCGACTCAACCCATCATTGCCATCTCCACAGGCCATCGCGTGCATCGTTACTAGCCAATGGGAAGAGCAGCCACGGATACGGTGTGGTGTCAGCACGTTTGCCTCCGGTTTCCAACCTCTGCTTTCGCTTACAGGGCCACTGAACGCTGACCCGTCCTCCGTCATAGGGCCTCGCTCGGCCTCTGCTAAGGCACCCAAGGCGCTGAGCAATTCCATCCGTCGGAAGTCGCCCGGAAAGAATGGTTATCTTCACCTCCTCCACCTCCTCTACCTCCTCCTCCTCGACCTCTTCCTTCTCCACCTCCTCCTTCACCTCTTCCACCTCCTTCCCATGCACCATCCCTAGCGTTGCCAGCTTCGAGATTTTGTTGGGGATTTCGCAGTGACTTTGGGATGCTACTGTGGTGTAATGGTTCTCACACTGGACAATCCAGAGATCACTGAGTTGATTCAATGTCCCGGCGCAACAGTTGAAACAATGAACATGTTTCTTAAGTCTACCCGCCTCTGTCTGCCCTGCAGTCTAAATGTATCCACTCGTGGTTAGTTTATTGGCAGGTCGCGTGTGGCGGGGTAAAGTGTGTGTGCTCGCACCTCTCCCAAGACATCTGTGCAGCATGGAAGCGTGGGCCAAATATCCTCTCGAGGGGACTCTCTCGAGCTCCCTCTAGTGGAGGGCTTTCTGCTAGCAGTGGCGTGCGAAAGCAATTGCAGGGCTGCGCCTTGACGTTTAACCAAAGCGACGAGCGACCAATCTAACGACTTTCTGGGACGAGAACGTGATGCACATTTAGGAGCAATTTGCAGGAACGTAATAAGAATGCTGTATCAGTTTACAATGCTCTGAGCACTTTGTAAATAGTCCAGCGGCATGCCACGGCTTGAAAAGGTCTGTCCAGTGACATTTAGAGACTTTTTTTTTGCGGTACGCTTGGCGAATTTCGGCTTTAAGAAGTTGGCCTCAATTGGCCATCCATCCCGCCAGCGTGCACTGATCTCTCTCTAACTACAAACAGAAGAGCTCGTTTTCGCGTTTGCTTTTCCAGAGCAACGCTCGTCACACGGCACTGCCGTGCCCAGATGCTTTCAAGCAAGAAGTCGCTGACTCGGCAAACAGCCTCCTGGCCCCCGGTTGCTTAACAAAATTGATGGTGTGGACACGTGCCCTTCTACCACATACATCAAACAACATAGACACATGCGTGTGTGTATGGTGTATGTGTGTGTGAAGAGGGACCGGTAGGGTAGCGGTTCGCACGCTGCGTTATAAACCCTGCAACCCGAGTTTGATTCCCGCTCACGGTCAACACCAGTAACGATTATCTGAATCGGTTCTGGGTCTCCCCTAGGTCGACTCAGCCTCAAATAAGTACTTGGTGCGGTGTGTAAACATCGCCACTGGGGAAACAAAGGCGACCGGGCGCGGTGCTGGCCACCCACCCCCTCGTGTGCCGTTCCAGCCTTCATAGGTGCTCGCTAACAGCACTTGCCCCAACAGTCTGTTACAGGCTACACGGGGGATCTTTGTGTGCGTGTGAATAGGGAGTGGTAGGGTAGTGGTTGGCACACTGCGCTACAAACCCGGCTACCAGAGTTCGATTTGCCGGCCACGGCCAAGATCAGCGGCAATAATCTGAACCAGTCCATGGGCATCACCTAAGTCTGCTCAGCCTTAAACCAGCAATCGGTGTGTTGGGGAAAGATCAGCACAATTATATATGGGCGAGAGAGATGGACATTGCGCATACATTCCACTTAACAAGCAAGACAATGACGGCACCGTATTCTAGTTGCTCTACCCAATCAGTTGGAGGCCCGTGGCTTGTTGCAGCCCTGCCACGCTTACCCACGTGGAAGAGACCACCTGCTCTCGTGGGCTTATTGTAGGTGTACATATACAGCGGTTGGAACGTGCCGCTATTGGATGAACCCCCCCGTACTCCTGTGTTTCTGCAGAGGGGAAACGGCATTGTCGACTTGGACTTGAGGACAAACAGCTTTCGTAGCAGGACTTGTAACATTTCCGTTTTGACCATTACCACCATCTGGGCCGGTCATTCTACCGCTTGAATCAAGGTCTCCCCGCCACCTCCACTGTCTCTCGCCATCCCGCGGCGACGTCGCATTCTGCCCGCCGCCTGCAAGCCTCTCCCCGGTTGACGTCCGCTGGGACCCATTCCGTCCCTTGGCTGCCATTCCATTGCTGTGCTTTGACCATCGTCCGTCGTCCCTTCGAGTGACGTATCCTGCCCCAAGCCCCGCATACTTGTACTAACACTTTGAACGGTGTCATTAATCTGCGTATGTTCTCTAATCCATGTGTTCCTCTTCATATATACATTTACTTACATATGACAAAAGACCTACGTACTGTATGTCAGGGGTGGGGAACCTATGGCCTGCAAGGCCATATCTGGCCCACGAATTAATCTCATAGAGCCCGTGGCCGCACAATGCCACATCGACAAGGCCCACAAAATAAATGTATTTGTCACGACAAGCATGTCAGCTGTACTAATTGGGTACTAAAGGCGAATATGATCAACCTGACAACACCGTGTTTCTACTATTAGCTCGCTCAGTTACTTATATCACTGCAAAGCAGTCATATTCGATCCCAAGTAAGATTTTCGACCCCGACCGTTCACGTAGAGTGAAGGTGAGGTGGGATGGGGTGGTCGCGCAGTGGTAATCACGCTGTTCTATAAACCACGAGGTCTGAGTTCAATTCCTGGCCTTGGCCCACATCAGCGATGAGTGACAGCTGACAGTGCGTGTACTCCCACCTCTTCTAAGACATCTGGCCACTGTGGAAGAGTAGGCCAGACACTCCCTCTAGAGGGCCTCTCTAAAGCTCCCTCTGGTTGGAGACCCATGTGCCAGAACAGCGGCTCGAGAGAGCAATTGCAGGGCCATCATCCCGAGGGGAGATTCAACTGAGGACTTGGGTGATCCCGTCTGCAGGAAAAAACGGGAAGTCGGAGCTGGGTCCACGGACGGACAAGAAGGAGAGGCCTTCTCCCAAAGCGCAGAGCGCCATCCCCGACAAAAAGTCTCACTTCGCCGAAAACAATCTCATCGGGAAATGGGTACGTGTTGAGCCTCCACGCATTCACGAGAGGGCACTTGGTCACTCACAAGCGCAGGTCGGATGGATCGGAGAAGCACCGTCGAAATGGCGTTGTTTATGCATTCACGGGAAGCTGCTGTGTGACCGCGTGTAAACACTGGCGGCATACTTTTCTGTCGCACCTCCGATTAGCACGGTTGGCCACGTGTGGTGCGAAAGAAGTCCATGTTCTTAATACGGCCGGGTGGCTCAGCGGTTGAGCAAGCGGCTCGCAGGCAGAAGATTGCGAGTTCAAATCCTGGTCGGGGGTCGACTCAGCCCCATCGCTCCTTTAGGGTTGATAAATATGAGCACTTCATTGTGGGAAGAGAAAAGTGGCTGTCCTATGGACAGACTCACCCCCATGATAGGAATGGGGAATATCCACTACTGGTTAAGTGGCTGTCATCAGGAGATGAGCCACAGACTCGATGCTCATTTGAGCAGGAAGTCACTGACATTTGAGGCCCTATATTCTTTGTTGTAATTATGTTTCTGCATAATCGATAACATCAACAATAAGTGTATGCTCTATTGCTCGCTTAAACGAATGCTGCTGGGTAACATTGGTCTGGAGAGCCAGTAAGCTGATTGACCAAAAATATTCAATTTTATAAATGGAGATACAGGATGGAGGCATATATCTGTACCATGGGTGCATTAAACCTGTAAGTGTTTCTGTCCTTGTATTGCTATAACAGATTGGCCATTTTTCAGGACGCTGTGGCTCAGGTGATATTATGAAATGGTGGCGTAGCTGCTATTGCAATCGTCCCTCAGAATTACGCCTTGAAAACGATCGTAAAATCCCAACCCAGCCCCTTTCTTCTCAGCAGTAAAGTGAGATGTGTCCATTAACTCTGCCGTCCGACTGTTACTCTGATTTCGAACAGATGATCGACCCAAACACCAAAGTTCTGTTCACGCCAGATGGCAACATGGTTTATGATCAGCACGGAAAACCAGTGAAGCTGTGCATTGGACACGATGGAAGCTCAGTGGCAGGTATTTATCCATCATTCATCCTGTTGCCAATTCAGCATTTTGTTTAGCCTTCCGAACACTGATCCACCCGCTCTTCCATCTGTCCACCCATTTTACGATCTGTCCACCGTAGCATTTTAACAACTCGCTTAGTTTTGATCTGGAGCTGCCAGGAATGAAATGGTCACGTGGCAACATGTCTATTGGTGTATCCCTTGTGGTGGGGAATAATACGGTTACACCGTCTCTTGTCCAAATCCACAAGCCAGATATGTACTACATATGTGGGAGGCTCTTCCTATGCAATGATGCTACAGTTAAGTTGATCAACAAATCACGTGTGGTGGGGTAATGAGTGGGTACTCAATACATCTTCTGAGTCATGTGGCCAGCATGAAAGAGCAGGCCAAGTCATGCGCAGAGAGGCTGTACAGAGCTACTCCGAGTGGAGGCCCTTCCACCAACAGTGGCGTGAGCGAGCAATGCCAGGGCCTACAAATGCAAGATGGTCTGGATTTATAGCGCGTCTAAATGCAAATGCAGAAAGCACAAGATTGGGGACCATGCGAATTACAGGTGACGAAACGGGGAGGTGTTCCCGTTTTCGTAAGTAAGTTGTGATTGGAATCAATTTATGGATGGGAGACAGTCAAATCGTAAGCCGAGGGGAAAGAGGCAGACGCTGAGCCTGGATTGGAACAGGGGGCAGGGAGCGTTGGGCAGCGGAGATAACCAGGAGGAGATTATTGCAGACACTGTTGTCTTCTCCAGAGGGCCTCGGTTGCTGGAGCTGAGAGCACATGAAAAGGAGTGGGTGCTTCGGGATTTATTTTATACTCGTGTGAGGAGTGATATCAAGTAATATATGATGATGATGATTATGATGATGAGTAAATGGAGAATTTGGCCATGGTCGTTCATACAGTCTATTTGCTCCATCGTTGCGTTTAAAGTCATCAGGTGGCAGATCTGGCACACAAGTTGTAATTCAATTCGCGTAGGTAATTAATTCCGTGATAAAAGCCTTGAATGAAAAAAAGCAGCGGCGGTATGGGTAATTTCATCTGCAGCTCAACGGCCATTAAAACCCCAAGCCAAACTCGCTCTGAGATGCATATGGAGCCGGGGCATCAATTGTGGTAATTATATAACGCTACCACGTAGGTTTCCACCAATTGCGCTCTATTGCCCTCCGATGTGGGTTTTTTTTTCCGGGTTACCACGCGTCGTTCGGCACGATAAAACGACGTTTCACTCCACGTGCTGGGCAGCTTCGTTAGGAACCAAATTATTGTGTTCCAGAATGATGATAATATTACTGTAGTTTATAGTCATAGTAATGTTACGTGCGGTTTACAGCGCTTGGAGAAGTCGTGCAAGCGGGTCGTTGGCACAAATCGGAGCGACTCGTTGCACGGCCGTGAAACCCTTACGCAGAAATAAATTAACGTCTGTTTTTACAATAAATGATAAAATTCAGCCTTTTGTTCCTAACATTAACTAGCTTCAGTAAGCTTTTACTACCACCCCCATTTACAGAGACTTGGTCGATCTTTATAATTGACAATGTTTAGCTTCAAACCATTCTGCAGCTATAACACGTTCACGATCACAAAGAAGTGAATGCTACGCAGCGTGCGGAGCGAGTTTGACGGGTATCACAGAGTGCCACTGGCCAACACACCGGAGCGATAATGCCATGCCATGCCGTGCGTTGTAGTTGTTGTTGTCGTTGTTGACGATCCTCGTTTGCCCGACCACGCCGCTGTGCCCGCACAACCCCTGCCGCGCAGATGTGAATGGGCAGGCTATCCTCGGACACAATGGCTCTCTGCTGTACGGCTACGGGCCGAGCGGCAAGCCGCTGGTGGACACAACGTCCAGCCCGATTCTGACCACGGCCGCCAGGATCCTCCCCAGAGCCCGTGCCCCCAAACCCACGAGCAGGCCGAGAAGACCCGCAGCCACCACAACTACAGCCGAACCCACCACGACGACCACAACGGTACCCACGAGCACCACCTCAACCCAACCGACCACCGCAGTGCATGAGGCCACCGCGGCCGCGAGCGAATCGTCGTCCGTCGCGGCTGAACCGACCACCGCAGTGCATGACCTCGCCACCGTAATCACCCGGGCAGCCACCGTCACAAAGGGAAGGTCCACAGCAGTGCATGAGACCACCACGGCCGCGACTGAGCCTACGGCGGAACAGACCTCCGCAGTGCATGAACCTTCCACTAGAACCCCGAGACGGACCTCCGTTACAGAGGGACAGGCAAGCACGGTGCATGAACAAACCACAGTCGCAGACAAACTCACCACACGTCCGACCGAGCCTACAACAACTACCGCAGCAGCACCCACCCACGTAGTCACCGTGGCCACGACCGCCGCCACTACCACAACCACCACGGCCACCACGACCACCACCACAACCATGCCTACCACCACCACCACAACCATGCCTACCACCACCTCCACATCTATACCCACCACCACTGCATCCACTGCCACCGCAAGCACAAGTGTTGCAACCACCACTGTCCCAACGACCACGCAGCCCGCCACAACCACAACGGAAGCGGCGGCGACCACCGCTACCACGGCCACCAGCACAACCACAGCAGCCACCACCACCACCGCCGCCGCCGCCGTCACCACAACCACCACCGCCGCCACCACCACCACCAAGAAGACCGTGGCAACGACGGTGAAACCGCAAGCGGTGACCACCGTGCACAGCACCCTGGCGCCCCGCACCAAGAAGCAACCCACTGCCAAGCCCACCCCGAGGCCCATCAGCCGCACGCAAGCCAGACTCAACCCGAGCCAGACCTTCCAAGGTAACCCCATCGCTTAAATTTCGATTTAAAGCTTTCGTGACTGCAGGGATTCATCTTCTTGGTTCTTTCGGTAAAGTCACGTAGAAGGGAAGTAATAAAATAATAAAAATAAAACATAATAAAATATACGCTCCAAGCGTGGTGGTATTTCATTCAGACGCTGTCTCCCCGACAGACCTGGTCTTCACCTGAGGACGGCTGCTTGCGTTGTGGCCGAAACGTCGTGAGAATTATTTTATTATGTTTTATTTTTATTATTTTATTACTTCCCTTCTACGTGACTTTACCGAAAGAACCAAGAAGATGAACCCCATCACTTGTTGGCCAAAAGTGGCCCGGAGATTCACAGGGGCCACTTTTTTTTAAGCATTGCTGGCAGTGGATCGATGAAGGAGCATAATGTACTCTCGTTATCTTCATGGTGCGGTTTTTGTTTTACAATTTTCAGTTGCAGCTACCTTTGGAAAGTGACCATGTGTGAAAGTGATGCGCAATGAGATTGATTCACCAACGACTGAGCAACGTTGTGCACATGTGGTGAATGTAATTACAGCACAGTGCAATGCCACGTATCTGCCCTGACCAATTAACCGCCCACACCCAGTGAAGTATTTACTGACGGTGTAGCTCTCATTTGATATCGACGTTCACATCTCGCACTTTTCCACACATCCACCTATAACTCAGTCCGCACGTAAATCAGATAGATATATTATGTACGGTACTGTGTGTATCCAGATAATTATAGAGGTTGGTCTTGCTTGGCACTGGCTACGTGGGGTGGTTTTGCCCAAGTCTGCCCAATGTCTGGGACCTTCCACTGGGACACGCGGCGAGCTGCCAGCCCCGCCTACTTTTACTTAGACACGCCCACTCACCCACTAGCCCCGCCTACTTTTACTTAGCCACGCCCACTCAACCACTAGCCCCGCCTACTTTTACTTAGACACGCCCACTCACCCACTAGCCCCGCCTACTTTCACTTAGCCACGCCCACTCACCCACTAGTCCCGCCTATTTTTACTTAGACACGCCCACTCACCCACTAGCCCCGCCTACTTTTACTTAGACACGCCCACTCACCCACTAACCCCGCCTACTTTTACTTAGCCACGCCCACTCAACCACTAGCCCCGCCTACTTTTACTTAGACACGCCCACTCACCCACTAGCCACGCCTACTTTTACTTAGACACGCCCACTCACCCACTAGCCCCGCCTACTTTTACTTAGACACGCCCACTCACCCACTAGCCCCGCCTACTTTTACTTAGTAACGCCCACTCACCCACTAGCCACGCCTACTTTTTACTTAGACACGCCCACTCACCCACTAGCCCCGCCTACTTTTACTTAGCCACGCCCACTCACCCACTAGCCCCGCCTACTTTTACTTAGCCACGCCCACTCACCCACTAGCCTTGCCTACTTTTTCTTAGCCACACCCACTCACCCACTAGCCCCGCCTACTTTTACTTAGCCACGCCCACTCACCCACTAGCCCCGCCCACACCGTGAGTGGCCTCCCCTTCTCTATTCGTGACGTTAGCTCTGACTACCGCAAAACAAAGATCCCCCGTGTAGCCTGTGACAGACTGTTGGGGCAAGTGCTGTGAGCGAGCATCTATGAACAGCACACGAGGGGTGGGTGGCCACCACCATGTCCCCCTTTGCGGTGATGTTTGCACACCGCACCAGGTACTCATTTGAGGCCGAGTCGACCTAGGGGAGTCACAGGACCGGTTCAGATAATAGTCACTGGTGTTGGGCGTGAGCGAGAATCGAACTCGGTTCGCCGAGTTCGTAGCGCAGCGTAGCGCTAACCGCTACGCCAACGCTCCTACACGCCCCACCTACTGCTCTACCAACGGAGCCCGCACTACTGCTCAGGTAGTGGGGGCCTAGTGGCCATTATCATGAGTCGACCGTGAGGTCAGAAATAAAAAAAATAAGCGGAACCAATTGCAGATTTGCCCACAAACTTCAGGACACCGGGACTGTTCCGGTCAAACAGGGACGCCTTGGGTTTCGCTGTGGGAGAACATCCCACTCCCAGTCTCAAGGCTGAGCGTTCATCACCTGGTCCTGGGTCGACTCGAGCTATCATTCATCCAGGGCTGATGAAAGGAGAACTACTTTTTAGCTGAGGTCAACAGCGGTTCTGTAGATGGACTTTGTCCCCGGCTAGAGGACTGTGGAATTTTGCGTCACTGGCTCGAGACGTTGAGCCTTGCCCAATGCCCATTGGGTACGTGGGTAGGCAGCGTGCTGAAAGTATTTATTGCGCGTGCAAGTGGGTAGCAGCAGCGACGTGTTGGTCGTGCGCTGAGCTATGAACTACACTGGTCAACAACAAAAAAAAAACTTTTTTCTGGCCTGGACTTTTGCAGCTGTTTTAGACTAATTTCAGGGTGCTGATTCCAAATCTGATCTCAGATTTGCTTTATCACATCTCATTTTTATGCCATCGGCATACCCCATTTTCATTGATTTTACCCGAAATTAACTCTGTCACTTATGATTGCAAGTTGTTGCGAGTCAATGACTGCTTTAGTGTTAAAATATGGTGCTGTATTTTTAGGATAGTGTGTTTATAATATCATTTTATGTAGATATCCACATTTATTTAATATTTTTATTCTACAGTTTTTATTGAAAATGCAATATTTGATATCTCAAATTAGGGTTAGGTCAGCACCCAAAAATTACCTTAAAACCTTTGGAATACCTTATGCCAGAAAAAGTGTGTTGACCAGTGCTATCCTCACTCCTCCTGTTATCCGATGCCCGACCACGGCTAAGAGCCACATCTAAGCGGTTTCCTGGGCCACCCTCTTGCCACCAAACTTCACCAAACGGTCAAAAAAAACCCATCAGGACTGGCACGATATGGTTGTTGAGCCCTTCATCCAACAGTGGATTGACAAAGCTACAGGAGCAATTGACGGGTGGGAATTGCTATATTTATTAATATGTCCTCATTATATTTTTGTGCGTGCATGTGCCGTGGCTACACTGTTATAACTCTGGCACGGCTCGAGTTATATGTTCATGTAATTACAGTAAGAATGTTGTATGAAAGGTTGAAGTGTTGCCAGCTGGGCATATCCAATGGCAAGCCCTACGCTCCCTGCAGGTGGAAAGCCCAATTTTTGCTATTTCCCTTTGCTCTGCCAAATGGTCAAATGCAGAATGGAAATCTGATTCCCCAGTACGGGCTTCCTGCCATTGAAGGTTACTGGAAATGTTCCCTGGTGGACGATATTATTTGATACACTGGCCGTGGACTATCGGAATAGGTTTTAAGATAAACTGATCGCGTTTGGTTCTGCGTCGTAGTTTCTACGCGGTGATGGTTTCCTTTGTATGTAATCGTCAGCTGCAAGCTGCTGGATAATGACCCTCCCCTGTTTAACCACCATCTCTCGCGATTCTGCAGAGTAACAATCCACCAAGCACCTGCATCCCAGCTGATTTAATCGCTCCATCTCCTGGGCAGCCGTCCTCTACACAACGATACCTAAATAATTATAGTAATCACCACAATGCACCGCTGCGATGTTTCTGTCTGCTCGATGCGGTCAGAGGAATTCCGTGCGCGCTTTGCTCAAATTTCAGATAAGGCTCTGCATTGAGGGACGAGAGAAACTTTTCAAAACCTGATTTATGGGCTCTCTCCATCATAGTTCTCCTGCCCCAAATGGACTCGCGAGCAATTTCCACCCTTCATCTGTTGCTGCTTAAATTCCTGAGGCTCAGTGCAGCCCAGCAAGAGGGGGCAAAGGATATTGTCTGAAGATACATTTTATTATTTATTCTATCCATGACTTGGCCGAGAACTGTAAACTTACCAGACGTGACGGTATTATCAGATGAGAAAGCAACACCGATTGTCTAGTTTAATTCGCCAGCCTTTGGCATTGAACCCAACTCGCATAGATACTGGAGAAATATATCGATCAAATATATTAAACAATATTGACCAGTATTCTCCTCTGGATCACCCAGCCAGTTTTAAATTGATACGATATATCATTAACAACAAATAACAGTGCGTTATTTTTGTTAATTAAATATTTTGTATCACAATAATTTTTCATGGTTCTTGAAAACTGATATCAGTTTATAAGTAAGGAATATAAAATGTGGTTTATTAACGTACGGCATAATAGAGACGCACACCATCCCATTACTCATATGAGCAGCGTGACGCTCCGACTTTAGTTTAAATTAACAATGTAATTACTTACTAATTTCATTCAATTTTAATACAAACCAGCTTCAATGAGATGAATACCATTAATAAGAAATAATCGTATTTTTTAAGCAAAATCATTTAACAACGGTAGGGTTTTTACCGCTGCTGTCCTAGACATTTCTACCGACCTTTATAAGACCGCTCCTACTAATGCGAGAGCTCGACTGCGAATCTCTTTTCATTTGTTGAGCGTCTTCATAATTTTTTCTTCCCTAGCTCGCGGACTCTGATGGTTTTTCTTGTTCCTAAAGCTGTCTGGCAGGCTCCGCTGATAAACTTCGTTCTCATTGCCCCAGCGCACGTGGCCAAGGCTTTGTTAGTGCTGTTCTCACTTCAATCACGTGCACTGTGTATTTTTTTCCGTATTCCGTGCTTATTTTTCATAGTAAACTGTCTTTCTGGGAATACGGAGTTGACGTGAAACACATTGTTTACATTACAGTGTCCCGTGACCACATGCCAATTATGGCATTACAGATAAGACACGCAGTAAATTTCTAAAGCACGCTCTCCGAAATGCCACAACATTGTAAATAATGTGAGTTCGGGAAAGGGAACTGGTCGCAGATGTAGGACATTTAAGGTCATTACAGAAATATCATTATACGTAGGCGCAGAGGCGTGGGTTTTCTTTTCGACGGAGAATATTTAAGATGATTTAATCCGAAATAAACATGTTGACATTGATAGAGGTTCTACTCGCGATGTTATGTAAAAGTTTTAAATGCTAATGCGTAAAATT